TATTTTTTTTATTGGTTACGCCCTGGTCTACTTGAAATTCATACTTGCCATCATTTGTCTCTGATTATATAAACTTGGCGGCGCACTGATTTTTTGACTCTTTTCCCTTTAGCTCCCACCGGTCTCAAGTAAAAGCCTGTTTGAGTTACACATAAAGTGCCTCCGCCTGCCCAAATCGCCGCTCCCGAACACAACCTCTGAGGTGCCCGCCGTTGGGGCGTCCGCGAACTCCTCCACAGCTACAGAATCAGCCAAGACAGCCGTTTCTTCCGGGTCGAAGGCGGCGGCTAGATCGTCAGTTGGTACAGACAGAATGCCCCTTCCAGACACGGGCAGACTCAACCTGCACGCCTGCTGTCCTCCCGGCAGCTGGATACCTCCAGCCGGCTGTACCTCGCGTTGCCGGATTCGATTGCTCATCTGCCTGCAACCGGTCAGTCTGTTGCTGAGGCGCCAGCGTCTGGCCAACTTTGACCGATCGTTGAAATCCGGCAAGTCCCAGTCCCCTTCATAGTCCACTTTGTCCGACCAAACTGCCATACCATTCTTATCCTCGTCGTTACTGTCGCATTCGTCGTCTTCTGTTTCATCGCATTTGTCAGGCTCTGCTGGGCACCCGACCGGCTCTGGAGCTGGGCAGACAGTTGATGCAATAGCGAAGTTCACAAAGACTGGACTCGAATCATGGAACAACGTCGAGCCCAACTGCCGAAATCACGAGGCTGGTGGTGGCGTCAGTCACGGAAGTCTTGATGAGAATAGTGGAGTTTCCGGTGTGCTAACTGAGGTCGTCTACCCGGAACAGGAGAGAGGACCGGAGAGGCAAGATTACCAATTGGCCATCAATGACTATTGGCAGGTGAGTGAATCACACAAGACCAGATTACGAAAAAGAATTGTTGAGTTTTTTGCTTTTAAGGCATAAAGACGAGACTATCAGAAGAGCGTACACATGCAAAGTTTTTCGCCTAATTCACTTCAGCTGATAAGAGCACTTGTGTTTGAATTTTCCCACAATCTTGTGATTAGAACTTGTGTTACCATAGCATTTCACATAGAAAGTTGTCCTCCTCCACGCAGGAGTGAACTGCAGTTTCTACATCGCTTCGGTCCCCCCCAGCAGTCTCAGCGGGACTCGAACCATGCCACTTACAGTGTTTAATCACGACACGTTAAACAATACACCACATTGCCACGAGGACCCCTGCGTCATAGAACAGATGTGAATTTCAAGTAGGGCCAGGCATTTTCCCAAGCAACATTCTGCGATGGGATTTTTGGTGAGTCCAAGTTGTATCCGCCATAGCGATGGATACCATTACTGACATTTTATAAACAGTTTTTTGAGACTACCAGTAGATGATTACCTTATCCCTTCAAACGAAATCAGGTGAATACACCTCATATGATAATATTAAAAACCTGTTTACACACGAAAAAGAAGTAATGGCAAATACAGCTATGCTTTCTCGACAATCCCACCACACAATGTGATGTGGGAAAATGGCAAGTCTTCCGCGAAATTGTCACCTGCTCTGTGACCCAAGGACATTCGTGGCAATGTGGCGTAGGAGTTCATATGTCCCCTTCATGGTTCGAGTCCTGCTGGAAGGCTGATGAGATCAGCTGAGGCCTACTTCAGTCGGTATGAGAAAATCTTTTTGGAAACAAGACTAGACGAAATTCAATTAAATTCATATGATTCCTTCAACGAAATTGTATAAATACATCTTCTATATAATTAACAACTTCGCTATCTACGATATAGCCACGATAATATTGCTCAGGTTGTTCAGTTGCATTACGAATGTGTAGGTATGCTGAAGAGGATCGCCTGGGTCCGTCACATCAGAAGTCGATTTGGGATTCCTGTTGCCCAGATGCAACCTGCTAATTGACACAATAATCGAGGCAATTTTCTTCGCTTCCGGTGAAAATGGGCCGAGCTTTCGACTGTCTATCTTTGACTATGTAAGTGGAGTTTCGAGACTGCCAGTCTAGACATTATCAGAGCTGGGCAACATTCTTTCTATTAGTTTAATTACGAAAATACACTCGCATATACACAAACACATGTTCTTACAGACGTTTAGATTGCTGCGAACTCGATCCTGCCTCGCATAAAAATGCATTGCGTTGAGACATATATACAGAATTTAGTAGAAAGTTGGTGAGATTCTTCAGTTATTAGTTCGAATTCGATGGAAGAATGTTATGCAACCTGTATGGGTGTGTTAGGTACAATGATGGAGGAAAACTTGACCTTTTGTTTTGCCAGACATAAAGAAGGTTGGCTCAAGGATTGTGTCAACCTGAAGATTTAAGTTACTCTAAAATGCAATGAGCCAAGAGAAATCCGCAATTGTTTTCTGGCCAGATCGATCTATTTGATTCTTAGCATGACAATTTTTCACTTACCATAAGAGTAGATCCAAATTTGGGAATATAAAAACCATTAAAAAACATTTTGTTTTGTATCCCTGGCAGGCGGGTCACAAAGATGGAGTTAGAGTGGAGATGGGACAAGACAATATTGATAAAGGAGGAGAAGATATAACAGCACTTGGAGAGTAAAACATAATGTAAATATTACCAAAACTTTAGTTACTTTAGTTATTCGGTCAAGACGCCTTTTAGAACACAAGTTCGTACGATAGGTAAGGTAGTATTACTACTATTACTAACACTGCCACTACTAATAAAATAAATATTAATGTATCAACAATTAATATAACCACTATTAACACAACAAGACAAAAACTACTTCCATTTTAACCATAACCATTCCTATAATATAAACGGTAAGGACAATAACAACATCTACTACTACTACTAATACTACTACTACTACTACGATGAAGACAAGTGTTGCAACATCTTTTCGCAACTTGTCTGTGTAATATCAGCTCTCCCGACTGGAATCGAAGCCTGATTTTATTAATGCATTGTATAATTTCGTCATGCTACCATTAAACCACACTGCCACATGTAACAAGTTAGACTTTCGCTATATGGCATTTTTAATAGTGAGATAGTCGCTGATACATGTATGTATTAGCTACTTAAATTCGAATTAAGTAGGATGTTGAGGTAATATTTAGATCTGAATAAGAGCCTGACTATGCAGCCCTGGCTCCACGATGCAACAAAACTGCAACTCATGAAGTCTGTCTATCAGATCTTGAATGCCGTCGACGCCGCACACACACACCCATACACACAATCACATATATTAGATACGACGAATAAATGGATTACAACGATTCTCTTGAAATAACATTGTTGGGGAGACTTTCATTTCTTATGAAAGTGTACGAAGAAGAGATTCGTACATTGATCTCTCCAGAAGACGACAGTTTGGCTTTAATACGACGTTCAGGTTGACGTTGTCACAGAGGAATCCTCCTTGGCTTCGGATAAAAACAGTCTGAATTTTTTGGATATCATCAGAGCTGGAATTCGTTCTTGTCAAAGTCTCAAATTAACACCAGGTCAGAAAGACTATCCGGCCAAACCACTATATATATATA